GCTGGGCGGGCTCCGCCCGCGTCGTGGGAGCGGTTTCTTGGCTTAACGTGCGCGGATGAAGTTTCACACCTTTTGTTAGGAAAAGCCGGGTTCGTCCCCGCCTTGGTAACAGGGGATTCAGGTGCAAATCACTTGGCACTTCAGTAGATGGCTGTGTAGTTTAAAGCACGTTAATCTAAGCGCCAAAGCCACTTCTAGTCTATAACGCGTGAATTTAACCCATTTCTGATGCTTACCTTTTTTTTCCCCGGATCTTTGAAATACCACCAAGGATTGGTTTCCAGGGGATGGATAACTGAAGACACTCGAGGGCATGTGTGGCTGGGGGGGGGAGCCCCCTTTCCCAGCTGCGGGGTAGCACGCTTGTCTTCATGTGACCTGGCACACCCTCACAGCAAATAGCTTCCTTTTCCAAAGGTAAATACCACAATTGGGTATTTTTTCTTTGCCTGTGTGTATGTATGAAGAAGCATCATGTTTTGCTTTATCTAGATTTCCCTTTTCCGTTCCTTACTATGCTAAATTGCACAGTAATTGCCATCTTCCCTTTTATATACTTAGCTAAAGTCTTCATGCTTTCCCAGTCTTCAGTTGAGTTGTTCATAGTATCAAAATCTGAGATGACTGTGTTGCTGCTTAGTGAATTTGATTGTATGTTCTAACTGTAATAATAGCGAAGACAGGAAAGTTCTGCACAAATATATTTTGCTTTTGGCAACAGGGATTTGTTGACCTATAAATTTTAGCAGGAGATTAAGGAAAAAAGCTAATTATGTTTTGTTCTTATTAGACCTAAATTCCACAGATACCAGTAAAACAATATAATGAACTCCAGTGTTGCAGTTCTGGAAAGCGTGCGCTGAGTGTGGATGAGGGATTACTTTTTCAATGTAAAGTCACTTTTCACATGTTGTTTCATGGTTTGCAAATGATGTCATTTGACTTCTTTTCAGTGCTTTACTTTTAATGTTTGCCATTCAGGAGGCATTTTTCTCTAATGTGCATTTAATGTTTTAATCTGCATTTCTTTGTTTAATTGTGTGTACCTGTATAATATAAGGTCACCCAAGAACATATGCATGTATGCTGCCAATGAGTTACATAAGTCCTGAAACTCATCACATTGAAAACTAGGTACTGTTGTGGCAAAAAAGGCGTATTTTGCTGCTTTCAGTCTTTGGCCTTCCATTAATTCCTTCTTCTTTCCATCCAAAGAATGAGCACGTGTCGATGGTGTACACCTAGTGGTCCTGACGCCACTGAGTTCCTGAAGAGCTATGCTTCTAAACGGTTGTCCCCGGAAGATCTTGAAGGATCCAATGAAGATCTCTGTTACTGCCTGGAATGTGTGCTTGAATACCACAAAGCCAAGGAAAAATTGCCAGCGTTGCATGAGGTAATTAAGAGATTTAGCTCCAACCTGAGAGGGAGGACTCAGAGTGCAGGAAAGCTTCAAAAGTGGTTGCTGTGGTGCAGCATGGGTTTTGTGCAGGGTTTGTATCTATTGGTGTAGGGGAATAGGTCATGTGGCTTTTTAACTGTCTTGCTTTTTATATATTGTGTGTATATTGTGAACTGATTGCAAAGCCAGAAGACCATCTTGTTTTGCATATATTCAAATTGGCAAGAACTAAACAGTAGTGGGAAGCTGCTGACTAGACGTTATAGCTTGTACTTTATTCATGCTGTGGTGGTTTGCCATCTGAAAGAGGAAGAACACCTGCCAAACAGACTAACAGCTCGCCCTCTTCAGTGTTTTCTTTGTTTCTTTGGTATCTGTTCAACTTCCTCTTTTTGTTTGCTTTCATTTTTCATTCACAGTTTTCTGTTACGCTTCAGTTTGAGATCTGATCTAATCTTGTGCGATTAAAACCAATCAAAGCTTAAAAATTCTATGTTATTGTAAGCCTTTTGTAATCCCCCCTCACTAGTATCACAATTCTATATTTTGGAAAGCTTGTGTTCCTGTATATGTCTGTAAAATGAATATATGTAGCTAATTGGTCACAATACGAACGTCTAGAAGGTTGCTCTTTAAATTAGATTTCTCTGGAGGGCGATCCTATCTGAGTATAGATTGGAAATAGGTGGAGTCCCTCGACTGCTGAGAGTCCCTCTGTCTGTTAGCTGTAGGAAATAACCTTGGTTTCTAATTGAAGTTGGGAGCAATTTGCTTTAGCTGGGTAATGTTAAGTGAGCTGGATCCGTATAAATACTCAGCAAGTCAGTCTGTGTGCATTCTTTACATTAATTCCCTTCACCAATATGTTCCAAAACATGTGAGAAGGCAGGATTTTTCCTGTTTTTCTCATCTTGCTACATATGATCATTTTCTGTATGATCATATATTAGCCAGTGGAACAAAGTTTTGTGACTCACCTGTGGCCTGAAATAATTAGAGATTGTTGATGAATATTTAACAGAAATATAAAACCACCACCAGAAACATAAAACCACCACTCTCTTAAAAATTACTTTACAATCCTAACTCTGAAGTGAGAGTTTTGTGATTTGCACAACCTGAATTCCATGTCAAGACTTCATCATTTTACACCATGCTTGAAAGAAACTTTTCAAATGAAATTTTAAGTTTTGAAAGTCTTGTTAAGGTTTCTGCATGTGATAATAAACGTCCTTAATCGCTTTCTTCACAAATGCACTTTGATTAATTGTTTTGCCCTTCTGAATAGGTCTTGTGGCAGTTGGAAACCTCCCGTCTTGTTGCCCACATTGAGAAATCCATGCAAGAAGAAGCTGGAGAAGATGATGAGTTGTTTGTAGTGGATGAGAATGGAGAGACGCAGCTGTCTGGTTATGTGGGCCCAGACTTTGAGAATAACCTGCGAGTGCCCCTTCTAGAAATACTGAAATACCCATATCTGCTGCTGCATGAGAGAGTCAGTATGTATCCTACCATGGACAGTTGGAAGGGAATGGTATTATTTCTACTAAAGGTGGTGAAAATAACAAGTAGTAGTTAAACTGAAGTTCTAGTGTGTACGTGTGTGTATATGTATTTTGTATTTATTTTGACACTTGGGATTTTTTTGCTGCTATTATTTTGTGAGCATATAAATTAGTCTTTACTGTAAGTGTTTTATCCTTGTAGGTGAGCTGTGTGTAGAAGTGCTCTGTAGAATGGAAAAAAGTCACAGCTCCTTTCAGGTCTTTGAGAAATATCCAGGAATTTATCTCTTTTTGGTACACCCAAATGAAGTGGTAAGTTACTTCTGTTCCACTAAAGCTTAGTTTTAAATGGCATCAGGATAGATTCTTATTTTTAATGACAAGAACGTGAAAATAGTAACATTCAGAATTTTGTTTGATTTTTCTATATTGAACAGTATATAGAAATTGAGATTTCAGTAGGAATACAGTTGCTGAAGAGACTCTTCTATAATCATAGAATAGTTAGGGTTGGAATCACTTTGCTCTTTGGATTTAGTCAGTTGAACTTACAGATGTTCAACTGGCTTAGTTAAGCACCAGTGTGGAGTTCAAAATTTCACATCCTAAGAAACAGTAAAAGATTTAATAGTATTTTACTTGACACTTGCTCAAACTCTGAAGCTTTCTCAGTAGGTCAGAGCATGATTCCACCAAGGTAAGAATTAACAAGTGTCCTGTACTGACAGCACAACTTAATTCCTGTTGTTACAGTATTCAGCTGTCTATTTAGAAAACAGTGTTTAAGCAATATAAAGCAAGTACAAAACCAAATGCTACCCCTTTGTCACATGAGTCCCAAAGAGTTTCATTTCATAGATTCATGGAAGAGATTGGAAGGGACCTCAAGATCATCTGATCCAACCTTTCTTGGCAAAGCACGACCTAGACTAGAATGGCAGAAACTTAAAAATGTCCAACCTTGGGAATTCCACCGCTTCCTGGGGAGATAAGTCCAGTGGCTGATCGTTTTCATTGTGAAAATTTTTCCTCTTGTGTCCAGTTGGAATCTTCTCAGGAGTTGTGCCCATTACCCCATATCTTTTCCACGTGACTCTTTGTAGAAAGGGAGTCTCCATCTTAACTGTAGCCACCTTTTAAATAAAGTCTCCCCTGAGTCTTCTTTTCTCTAGGGCTGAACAAACCCCACTCTTGGCCTTTCGTTATACAGCTGCCCACTTCTTGCAATTATGAGACCTTATTTTATTAAACATACACTTTTGTCCCATTTGTGGTAGCAATGTTTCCTAATCTTACAGCACTGTGATTTTGTTTGTTCTTTTTTCTTAATATTTAACTTTTTTGTTTCAATCCTTAGATTCGTCGATGGGCCATTCTAACAGCAAGGAATTTAGGCAAGGTCGACAGGGATGATTACTATGACTTACAGGAAGTGCTGACTTGCTTGTTCAAAGTTATTGAGTTGGGGCTTTTTGAGAGTCGAGATATTTACAGCTCTTCAATGATTGAAAAGGGTAAACTCATCCTTCTGCCATCTCACTTATATGATACTGACAACTACAAAAACTATTGGCTAGGTGAGTATTTATGATCTGGAATGAATTTGTACATGTAGTCTCATCTTGTAAGCATTTCTTTCAAGTCAGAGCTCTACTCTTTCCTAGTCGCTGTTTATTTTGGGGCATGTCAAATGGGAAAGTTAGTGTGTTTCATGTTGCTGCTGATCTCTTTGGTCAGGTGTTACACTGGTAATGGTGTTGGAAGCTGATCCTTGATTTGGTGAAAATCAGAACAAATTTTTGCAAATGTATTGATAAATGGCCTTTTTTTTTTTTTCTTTTAGGGATTTGTATGTTGCTTACAGTGCTGGAAGAACAAGCCTTGGACTCCTTGTTACTGGGTCCAGACAAACAAAATGATTTCATGCAGTCTATACTTCACACCATGGAGAAAGAAGCAGCTGGTAATTAATTTTGATACTGAAACTAAGGCAGTTCGTAGCCTGCTTTTCATCTTTATCAAACTTCCTTATTGAAGTTTAGTGAATTCTTAGTAGTGTAACTCAGGTGATTTCAACTGAGGCTTATTTGTCTTCTGGAAGATGGTCAGTATTGTTTAATATTTGAACAATACCAACAAACACTGAGAAATTACATTTAAACAAACTCTTAAGTGGAAAGGGATGGCAGTGCCTTGCATAAGGCTGGCTTAGAGGTTTTGGGAGGACAATCTGTAACTTCTACCCTATTGTTTGCATTTAATGTACAGATTGTATGGGAATGTGTGTTTCACTGTGGCATGAAGTTTGACTTTTCAGTCCTAAAATACAGAAACACCTTCTGAATTGCTGCAACTTGCTTAAAATTTGAGTCTTCCACCCATCTGTTTGAGGGAACCTGTTTTGCTGCTGGGAATTTAGACCAGCAGCCCTTGGGCCATTCTTGTAGGCCACATGTTATGGTATAGCTTGGGAATGGCACATGAGCTCAAGATCAGGGCTGTGTCTTAAATGACCATATCTTTATGAGCTTAGTATGTTTACTGAGGGTATGATTTTACTTTATATGAAGGGGGAAGAACACACATGAAGGAAAGCCAATTGTTCTATCTTAAATTTGAAGTATAAATTGTCATAGCTGTGTAAGTTGTACTTACTTTTTAGAAGAGCACTGCAAAAATCAGTGTGGAAGAACTGGTTTCACAGAGGTGGGAAATGTTAGTCCAGGTTGCTTTAAGGCTGCATAAGGAGCAATGTTCTGTCTGTACAAATAAGTGAGGTTGACTTTTTTCCATCCGTTTTCCAGGTTAAAGAGTATAGTTACAACTTATTAGAATACGTATCTTTATATGGGCATTTAAGAAAAATCAATGAAAACCAACTACTTTCAACTTCAACTTAGTCTAAGAATGTTCAGGACTCTTGCATTTCAACTGTCCCCAATGTTACTGTTATGTTTCAGATGATTCTACTGACCCCTTCTGGCCAGCGCTGCATTGTTTCATGGTTATTTTGGATCAGCTCGGATCTAAAGTATGGGGTCAGCTTATCGATCCAGTCCAAGCCTTTCAAACCATTATCAACAGTGTGAGCTACAACAATGAGATTAAAAATATACGCAGTAGCTTTAAGAGGTCAGTTTATTAAGAGACTAGATCAGTTTTATGGTTTTGATACCAGGTAGTGTAGTAACTTTGGTCTTGGTTTTCTTGTCAGTGCTGCTTTAATTTGGCTTGGGGGAGGGAGATGGCAAGTAAAAACAACCCACGTTTCCAACTAAAAGCAATGAAAAGATGAAGTAGGTCCCCTAAAATTGTAAAGTTCTTCAAAAATACATGCTCATTTCTTTGTGACTACTAAAATGTCTGTTACACTTCTCAGGATTTTTTCCTGAACCAGGAAGGCAGCTAACTGTTGAGTGTTTACTTCTATAACCAATTGGCAGTTAAAGTTTAACTGAGATTGCCATGCCTGACACTCTTTGTGAAGCCATGGGGATTCCTGAATTTTCAGTGGATTACATAGTTTTAGGTTTTATTGTAGTTCCAGATGACAACTGATTTGAGTTTACTTTCAGCTCGCGTTAAGCCTTAACTATTTGTCAATATTAGATTTACGTAATGGTACTGTATGGTTTTAAAACTTCCGTTCCTTTTCTGAATGTGTTCCTTTCAGGAAAGGTAATAAAGTGAGTATCATGGAACAGTCCTTCAGTAGCTTTCCAACATAGTGAGCTGCTGAAAGGAAACATGTTAAAACACATAGCAGGCACCAGATCATCTTTTGAAAGGTTTTGTCTTCATATACTTATATCCTAAGATAAAATGAATTTTTTTGTAAATGCTTCTGAGGGACAATATCAGTATTGAGCTAAAAGTTAATTAGGTAAATTGTTTATTCGGTGCAGAAGTAGCTGGTTATACACTGGAAATAGCTTCTATGGGAACAGAATTTTGTTACTTAAACTTGAACTCCATCTTTTGGCACACCGTTCCTTGTAAGGGTTTTTGTAAGAATCCAGGTCCAAAGACTTCAGGAACACCTATTATGGAAAACTGAAATTGTGCCTAATTTTAAAGAGCTGGTGGAAAATAGGATAACCATACCAGTTGTTTACTTTGTTCATGTGATATATTTTGAATCAATTTTGAGTGACAATGTCTTAAATGTTCAGTGTTTTTTATACATGCACAGTCTATAATCTTAAAGATAGCTGCAGATACAGATACATGGAATGTTTTAGATAACTGAGGAAGGCATATTTAAGGAGATTTTCCTGAGTTAAACAAGCTATTTGAGTGTTGTGTTCAAATAGTTGTATATGAAGTTGAGGAGTGTGTAGCCATCATTGAGCTGCATTTACGCACAGAAAATACAAAGGAAATGGAATTTTTCTGGGTGCTTGTTCTATGTAGTCTAATCTGTGGCTTAGTAGAAAGCTTTTTCCTGAGGCAGTCACTTCCCCTGCCTCTTACCAGCAGGATAGAACAAGCTCTACAATTTTAAATATGATTTCTTTTCATATTTTCATACAAATTCTATTAGTCACCTGCTCAGTATCTGAAAAATGGAATCTGTGTCTTGGCCAGTTGGCTTTCTTATAGTTTAAGTTAAGTTGTGTGGAGTCTGTAATGGTTTCTGTTTCTTTTCAGGACAAAATCTGAACCGGAGTCAGACTACAATGATGACATGGTTACTTGCAGTCAGATTGTGTATAGTTATAACACAGAAAAGCCTCAAAAGGTATTAAACCAATATTTTATTTCCCTGTTTTTTGATTACAGAATGAAACTGTCAGTTTAAACCATCTCTAAAATACGTGAGGGGAAGTTACTCAGTTTCTACTAGTCATGCTGTAAAGAAAAAATACTAAATGATGTTTGTCATTATTGTGTGCCTTAAATAGTAGCCAGTCTCATCATTTCTTGTTTAGTTGGTACATTCAGAATAAATATTTATGAGTGTGTTCTCTTGATGTTGATGAGTTGTATTTAAGACTTGTCTTTGAAATGCTTTAAATGTATATTTGATTATCTGAGGTTACATTATGTCAGCATAACATCTTTGGAGATTTTTTAGACTCTCAATATGATTTTTAAAGTGATTTTTGTAAAGGAAATCACAATGATTTTGAAAGGAAATAGTACTTTACACTTATTTCATAGGTGACATTTTAGGAAATTTTTGGAACTAGATGATCTTAAGGTCCTTTCCAACCCTAACTATTCTATGATTCTATGAAATGAGTTACTTATACATGTGCTAGTTTGATTATTTTTTGCATTTGCATTAGGATATAAGAGATGTTACCATTTAATAAACATGTATTTGAAAGAAAGTAACTTTTATGGCTAGAAGAAGAGCGTTTGAGAGATTAAACTCTGCAGACGTGTATAATGAGGACGATTTGTGGTGGATTTATTTTTCAGGATACTGGATGGAAGACTGCCATTTGTCCAGACTATTGCCCCAACATGTACGAAGATATGCAAGCACTGGCTAACATGCTTCAGTCTGCAATTGGTAGAGATACCCGTATCCATCAAAGCACATTTTTGTGGTTCATCCCTTTTGTTCAGTCGCTTATGGATTTAAAAGACTTGGGTGTAGCATATATAGTAGAGGTCATTCACTACCTCTGCTCGGAAATCAAAGATATTCTCAATGAAAGAATCCAGCAATGTGACAAAATATCTGAATTTTTCCTCCTGATCTTGGTCTCCGTTATTGAACTACACAGAAATAAGAAGTGCCTGCATCTGTTATGGATTAGCTCCCAGGAATGGGTGGAAGCAGTGGTGAAATGTGCTAAGCTTCCAGCTATAGCATTTACACAGTGCACTGAAAAACTACCTGGACACTATGCAAGAGGTTCATCGACAGTATCTTTACAAGCTTCTAACTCTGTGCAGCATGCCTGTGTGCAGTTGATACGCAGCCTTCTTAGAGAAGGCTATCAAATTGGGCAGCATGCTCTTTGCAAGCAATACCTAGACAAACTCAATATTCTTCTGCGAGGAAATCTGTCTTTAGGTTGGCAGCTGAACATCCAGGAAACTCAGGAATTACAAGTGTGTTTAAGGCAAGTTATAAGAGGTATAAAGAACAGAGCATTGGATACCTCTGTGGCTGTAAGAAACAGTGCAAACTCTACTACTTTACCTGCCATTTCTATAAAGCAAGAGAAGAATGCATGTGGTGGTGGATGCGAGGTGAGTGTACATGGCAGAGATGACCTTCATTCGCTATGTGCTGTCTCATCAAAGGAAGGCAGAGATTGTTCTAACTTCTTTAAAAGTGAACCTGGTATGCAGGGGAATGAAGATGATGGGATTGCACTTTCAGGGTTCAGTGGCACCTTCCTGAAAAAAGCATCGACTGGACTAAAACCAAGTTCATTGTTGAAATCTAAGATTAAGAAAGAAACTGACATGCAAGCTTCAGGCTGGGAACAGCCTAATTTAAGTGACTTGGCTAAATATAACTGTGAAGGTCAAATTTCAAAGTACTATTGTATGGATAAAACTTCAGCAAATGATCATGTTCCATCTAGCTCTGAAAACAAGAACAGTATATCCAACCCTGCTTCTTGGATCAAGCCACTGTCAGTGAAGTGTGAATCAAGTGACAGGTTGTTAGAATTTTCAAAGTATTTCAAGAGAGAAAGTAATTCAGTGGGGAAGAAAGAGGAGGATTTTGTGAAGACTGTTTCTGAAGATAATACTTTAACAGACTCCCAGGTTGATAGAGAACTCAGTAAATTATCGTTAGCTGCATATGCCAAAGGTGTCAATTTTCCCTTTGATTCAAGCCAAGAGAGCTCACTACATGATAATGTGTGTGATATTAAAAGAAAAGTGAAAGGTGCAGTAAGATCTTCCAGTGATGGTCAGAGTACCACACCTCCCTGTGGTGCAGATTGCCTTAACAATAAAGTCATTATAATTTCAGACTCTTCTGATGAAGAAAACTCTGTGGCTGACAAGAAGGAAACAAAAAAAAAGAATGAAAATGGATATCCTGAAAAGCAGCCTTCAACTTCCAGCTGCGTTTCTGATAGTGACACCAAAATAGAATCAAAGGTACCAAGCTCTCCCTTGTCACTGGAAGACTGTGAGTCTCAGTACTTTGAATTTGAAACAGAACTTGATGTCTTTTCGGTTTGGCAAGATACTCAAGACTATAGCATGGAAGTAACTCAGGAGTATAAACAAGGTAATGTTTCAACATCGGTTGACAGTAGAGCTTCAGGTGAATTACTGGATGATGAAACAAATGCATGGGGTTATGATACGGATTACATAAATGATGATGACATGGAAGAAGAAGCAAACTTAGCAGGAAAGAAGACAGAAAGTGTTTCTCATCAGACAGAAGCTGATAACACAAAAGTAGTAACTAATTCAACGTTGCAAGAATCTGTTAGTAAGGAAAATGCAAAAGACCAACTGGAGAATTCTGCCAGCAAAGGTACTGTTGCTGAAGACTTCACCTTGCACTCAAAATTGACTGAACCCAGAGCATCTACATCTAACATCTCATTAGCTTCAAAATTGGCCCTTAAGAAGAATAGCACAAGCCCACAGAAGAGCATAGCAAACTCTAAGGTAGCAAGAACTAATCAAAGAAGTCCTAAAAAAACTCCTGTTCCTAAACCAGCACAAAACAAAAAGCTGCTTCAAAGTGCATCAAAAAATTCCCAGCCTGGCAGCTCAATGCCTGCTGTGGTTCCTCCGAGGAAGGTTCGCCAGTGTCCAGCACCAGCATCAACTGTAGAAAAACTTGGGCTGAAGAAGGCGCCTCGCAAAGCGTTTGAGTTATCCCAGCGCTCTTTAGAGAGTCTGGCTCAGTTGCGCAGCTATGGTAAAGCTGCAGGGAGAGTTGGGGTTGCGCAGAAACAGAAGATTAAACTAATTGCTCCTCAGAATTTGTCTATAAAATGCAATAAAAAATTGTTAGCCTGCCAAGACCTTCAGTATTTAAGGCAGACGAGGCCCAAAAGAAGGGTCGGAGTGGGAAATTCTGCAGGAAGTTCTGGGAATAGAAACAAAAAAGTTAGCAAACTGGATGCAAAATCTATGAAACAAAAGCCTGGAAGTTTTGAAGAGGCATCTGTCGAAAAGCAGGGAGAGGGAAAAAAGGAGTGGACTGGTTTTCCCTCTGCTGGTGAGAGAGAATTTGAAAGCCTTTTTGTGGAAGAGGAGGCAGGTGTCTCTAAAATGCCTAGTTTTTCGGACTTGAACAGAAAATCAGAGGATAATGGTACAACGGTTCCTCCTGTACCTGTATGTTCAAGTCTCTCTTCTGCTGCGTTGGTTGGAGATGGTAAAAATGAACCTTCAGGAAGAGGTTGCATTGTCCAGCCTGAGTGTGAGAAGACAAAAGAAAATGGGTGTAGATCAAATGAAAATAGTGATGATGATGATCTATTTTTAACTCAGTTAGATCCTGTGGATATGGAATTATGTTCCGAAGAGGAAAATGTACAAGACACTACTACAGCTAGTAAAAACCCAGAGGAAATGGATACTGCTGAAAGCCTTCAGCAGAGTGAATCCTCTACTACTGTGCAATGCAAGTACAAAGACTGTATAGAAAAAGTAGAAAACCCAGGAGAGTACTGTAGTAAGCATTCAGCCACCAGCTCAGAAGCAGATCACTTGTTTGCCAAACCATCTCTCCTGCCACCTAAACCAAGAAAACCTTCCACTACCAAAATTTTCAGCTCAGCCAGTTCATCACGGAATGCAGCCTTCAGCAGGGATCTTGAGGATGTTAAAAAGCTACCCCCAGCTTCCAAAAGCAAAGTGAATGCAGCAAAACCAGTGGTTGTCAGGCCACCAAATGCAAAGCCTATACCGATAAGAAATCAGGCATGCAGGTCTCCAAGTTTCATTAATGTACCTCAACTCAATATTCCTAATAATGTTCTCCAGTCACAAAATAGACAGAATGACAATGCTTCAAATATTTCCAGGAGGCCTGTCCAAGAAGCATATTCTTCACCATTTTACGTTCAGCAGCGTGATTACAGTATTTTTATTAGCGAAGTCCTAAGGTGGACTTATGAAATGTTTGTGAACTCCAGCCTCTTTGGACCTCCAAGTAATCTCACTCAGTCTGTAGTAGCCTCTGTTCCTGTCCACTTTCAAGGATACAATGACTATTTTAATACATTTTTCCCCTTGATGATGCTAAATGCCTTTGAAACAGTAAGTAACTATCTGCCTCTTGGTTTGTTTTTATCAGCCCTAGTAAATTTTGCCAAGAGATTAAAAATTGTTATATGCCTTATATTTACCTTCTGAAAATATACAGATCTGAATAGAGGAATGATGTGGGGGGAATAATCATGACAGTTACGGTTAAGATGGGCACTGTCAGTGTTATCTTAGTGAAGCTTTATTTTACGGGTCGTGCATCCACAATAGAATGTGAAAGGAGGGGAAAAAGGAGGTGGTTCCTCTTTCCTTACAGCACATAAAGCCTAAACCAGAAGTTTTCTAAGAAACTGAGGTAATTCAATGACAGTGTAAAAAGAGAGTAAGAATGTAATGTTTTGATTCATGTTGAGAACTTACATGAGAGGGTGGGTTAATCTGAAAAGTATTATTTCCCAAACAGTTTAACTTTAGTTTTAACAGAAAACGCAGCATTCCTTCAATTGAAGTCTGCATACCTGCAAGTTCAGTCATTGCTTCACTTCTCCCATAGGAATAAAGTAGAAAATGAAGTCAATACCAGGATAATCCTGGTATTTTAAGGTGAAAACGTGATGGGGGGAACCCACATTTGTTTTGAAGAGCTTTGTAAGAAATGGAGGGTTGGGGAGGAAGCGCTTTCATTTGCCCTGTTTGTGCAATGTGCCCACATACATTAAAAATAGAAATAGCTAAGACTCTTGTCTTGTGCTTGACAGACTGTTAGCTTTCTTTTATTTGTGCTTAGTGTGTTTGCCCTTTGAGTCATGATACACTATTTTTCTGAAACACTAAACCCTTCAAAGTATTTTTATTTAGCTATTACTTTCCAACATGTAGCTGGCACAAGAGTGGACAGAGAACCAGAGAGTAAGAGAGAAGAGTTACTACTTCAACTTACAGAACTTCTCTGCAGACTTGAACACAGCAGATTTTACAGGTAAGTTTTTTGGGGGGGGATTTTTGGTTTTGTTTTTGGGTAATAAACTTCTCTTCTCATTTTCAAGTAAGCAATGTCTTACAATGAGTTAGCACGCACAGGTAGAATTTGTGCTTTAAATATAGGAAGGATTTGAATTTGCTGTTTTACATAATGCACGTAACAGGAACATGTATTTTGCAGGGAATTTGTGCCTTAAGTGTTAGTACAAAAAGTTACTTGATTGCTGTTGAAACTTTTCAGCTTTCCATCTCATTCATTTGTAATCTTATTTTAGCTTCTGTTGGTAAATAAAATAGTCCTTGACTTGCTTTATTTTTATACAGTGCTGTATTCAGGCGTAAGGATGCAGGATGGTGTTAAAACTCTTCATAGTCTTTTGCTGTAGCTTTTAGTCACTTTAAAAGTTAACAGATGAGCGTAACTGAAATATATTCAATATGTTAATTGTAGTACTTCTGTAGTCAGAAAGTAATTGTAGCCGTTTTCCTTTTAATGTTCTAATTATTTTAACATGTATTTTGGGTAGCTCATTTGCAAGAAAGTGATTTGGCAAAGCAGCTTCATCCAAAAGAGGATGACTTAATCTTTTTGGTGGTCCAAAAGAAAAAAGATGCCTTTCGGGAAGAAAGTGAGATGCAGGACCAAATAGTGAATGAAGTTGGTCTCGTGACACGATTTTCTCGTGCATCTGGCCGTTCAACTAGTAAGTAAATGGGGTTGAAATGAAAGTGGGATTTTTCTTGGTATTGTAAAATGCTTTTTCATCACTGGTGCTGATAGTTGTACTATACCACTTACCTCAGAGGAAATGGGATTGTTTTTCCACTGTACCGTGTCTGTTCCATGCTAGAAGCTGTGTAAAAAGCCAGGAATGTAGGTGTAGACCTGCTTTCTGTGCATTTTTTTAGGGAATTCCTTCAATACAGAGGTTAATACTTTGCATAAGAACAGAAACTAATGACGAGTAAATGCTCTGCATACATCTTGAGGGGAGTGCCTTGCTGTGAGATACGAAGTGCCATGAACTTCAGTGGTCCCACTGACTAAAATTTTCACTATCTTTTGGAACTGAAGTTGTGAATTACCAACTATAAAGATTAACGTTGCCTGATTAAAACAGTGTTTTGGTTTACAGAGCATTGTTGTATTTTGTTTTGTGGGGGGGTTTTGTTCGGGATGGTTTTTTAGGGGCTGGTGGTGGCGTTTGGGTTTTTTTTGCAAGTTCTTTTGAGTGACTTGTTAGGATATGTTCCAGTTAAGTTGGATATTCTTGGAATTAACAGCTTGTGGTTTTGTTTTTTCCTCCCCACTTTTAATAGGACAAAAGGAGCAGCATACAGTCTGTCATCTTTCTGTGCGAACTCGAGGCAATTTGTCATTCTTTGTAAATAAGCAAGTGAAGTGTATGGTGGTTGGCTCTCTGGTGACCACACATCGAACATTCAAAGGTCTGCTGCTACTGAGCAGGAGTCCCCTGGCTAAACCCATCATAAATCCAAGTTACAATGACTTCTGTCCCAGAGATTTGCCTGTAGCTTCAGAAAGCGCTGTAAGTCTTTCAGCTGGATGTGATTAGGGATGACAGTGGGCATTTGGATGTATGGTTCTGTGAAACTGGTTTTGCATGCTGTTTTTTGAGATGGCAGGTTTCAGAAGCACTGAGTTACTGCTTCAGAGTTGGTTGTGAATAGAGTGTGTTTCTGCTGCATTGACGTAGATACTAGTAGTGCACCTCAAGCAGCTTTCTGGTGTTTCTCCATACTGGAGAGGTGTCTGTTCAGGAGATAAGGCATAGTATGGAAAGGGTAATGCAAAATAAAGCTGTGTATAGTAAATGAAACCTTCATTACAGCTTGAGCCAGGATTGGGTGTGCATTTAGAGCAAGCCTAAAATTAAAAGCTTCCATGCCCTTCAGGTTTTTGAGTTGTAGTTAGAGGGGTGGGAGTCATCCTGAAAATACATCAAATGAACATGGAAAAGTCAATCAACATTAATAGATTATTTTTCCCTGTGTCTGTTCCTTCAGGCGTGGAATGTGAATGAATACAATGAAGATCAAAAGAGAGCTATTCAGACAGCTTATGCCATGGTAAAGCAACATCCAGGGCTTCCCAAGATCTGCCTCATCCATGGACCACCTGGAACAGGGAAATCAAAGACTATTGTAGGACTTCTGTCTCGTGTTTTGAGAGAAGTAAGTGAACCCAATGTGATTGTCGTGTGCTGGTGTCACATGGAATGGACACATGGGTAGTGTCAATGGAAGAGCTTAAGCTAAAAGGGAGCATAGTACTGGTGATTACTGGAGGTGTAATTCATTAAGCTGACTTGATTAAATCTGTATGGTGTAGGGTATAAAGGTGAAGATAATACCTTTTGGGCATTTTGGAAAATATTTATTTTACAAAACTTAAGTAAAATCAAGAAAATGTACACAATTAGTAATAAAAACACTTACTTTTGTAAGAAACTTAATATTTAGGTGTACGAAAGAATATTTTTGGCCTGTCCCATTTAATGGTTTTCCTGACAGCATTCAGTAGATTCATCAAGTACATCGTTGTTGAAGGGAATTTATGCAGGTGGTATTAATACATTTGACTTGTTACTCAATATAAGACATACCTTAAGAGATACTTAAGTGCAATAGTCCCCATAGTCTGCATGCTGATTAAGATGAGCATACAGTCTGGCTTTTAAATCACAAATGAATACTATCTAAAGAGCATGTCTTGGTTTATTGTTAATTAATCTACAGAACACTAGGAATGAGAAAGCTCAAAAAACAAATTCCAAGATCAAGCCAAACCGTTTTCTTGTTTGTGCACCATCAAACGCTGCTGTTGATGAACTCATGAAAAAGATCATCATTGCGTTTAAGGAAAAATGCCAAAACAGACAGGAGCCTTTGGGTATGGTTCATTTTAAAATTCTGCTTAAAATTCTCTTAAGTAGGCAAAACCTGAAGTAAAAGCTAGAATAGTTGATTAGATATAGTACTTACATGCTACTCTAAGCAGCTTTTTTCTCTTGCAGAACATGACTGGTACATCCTTATACCATTATTAATTTTAATGTGCTTTTCTACAGGGTGTATTTTTTTAGTAGATTGCACTTTGTCTTTACATAGACATTGACCCTTTCCTCATAGTGTTAGTTTCAGTTCACCAGTTGTTACTCCTTAGAGGCTTGAACACAAGACTATTACCTTGATTTTGAATGAAACTGGACTTAGGTCATGCTAAACAGACTGATGAAAATTTTGGCATCAGAACCTCTCACTTGGGTTTGTTTTTTTTTCTCCTCCTGGTTTGTAGCTAATGCAAAGTAGATGAATTCTGAGCAAGGTTTCTAGTGTGTGGTGGGGAAAAACCCCAAACCTGTAGTGTAACCAAATGTTAATTTGGTATTGGCTTACCAGCTGTGTTCCTGATGGTAGTCAGTCATTTGCTAAGTTAGGAATTCTGTAAGTTTTAGATAAGCCTGAGAATAACAGGTTATTCTGTTAATTTAAAATAATATTCTTAACTGTTAGCCAGCACTGAAGCACTGGCAACATCATCTTTGTTGTTTGTGGGGTGTTTCTGTTTGTTTAGAGTTTGGAATTACTGGGTTTTTTTGTTTAGCTAAATTATTGCAAACCCCTGATTTGATATCCATGATGTTTACTTCTTTTTTTATTTTTCTCTCATACTGAAGTGCAGAGATACTTGGAGCAATCTAAAAGTATTTTAACTCTGATTTTGTAAACAGGAAACTGTGGTGATATCAAATTAGTGCGACTTGGTGCTGAAAGAGCAATCAACAGTGAAGTCCGGGGATTTAGCCTGGATAAGCAAGTTGAACATAGGATGAGTAAGTAACATGCAAATCAGACTTTTCTTCAGTCTTTATTGAGCTCGATGATGTTTTACACTTAGGGTTATGTGGTCTTTAAGAAGGAAGAGCTGGTAGAAGATTTTTCTGCAACTGTGCTTCGTAAAGCATTGTTTTTCAGTCTTGGTGGGAAAGTGTCAGCTTTCATGTGGCCTAAAATCTGAGCAAAACAAATAAATAAGACTGGTTTTTGTTTGTTTTTTTAGAAGAAATTGCAATATATATATATGTAAAAGCCATAGGTTTTAAGCAATGCAGCTATGCAGCATTGGAGAGCTACAGTTGGAACCAAGTCTCATTGTCTTTGTTTTACAAGACCTCAGTAGGAAAAAGGCAAAATGCAACAAAAAAGTTTGTCTATTTCAGTGAGAGCAAGTGTTATTGTCATGTAGTTTCTCTATTTCTCATGTATGTTTTCCTTTGTTTTATTATAGAACGAAAGCCAGCTGACTGTGACCAGGATATTCAGAAGAAAAAAGCAGCTCTGGATCAAAAGCTGGACATGCTGTCTCGTCAGCGTGCCATGCACAGATGTGAGAAGAAGGAGGTGGTAAGATAGTAGTGGTTTTAATCCTGTTTGCATTTTTTGAGTGCATAACTGAATCCAAAGAGTAAAGAACTCTACTGTTTAATGCCATCTCTGGGCAGTAACTGTCTCTTTACCTGCTTTTTCAACTAATGGAAAATTTGGTTGGCACTGCAAAAGGGAATGAAGAACTTTCAGGAATTTTTTTGTTTGTTTTCAACTGATTGATCATGCCACTTGCTCTGGTGTTTACTAATCTTCATTTTGTTCTGTCATCAGTTTTTAGGATAACCATATTTATAACTTTTAATGATTTGATTTGATTGTATACTTCAAAGCTCTGGTTTTGTTTAACTGGAAATAGTAATATACATTGAGGTCTGAGATTTTTGGGATATGTGTTGTGCTTGAAGTTGCCTGTTTTGTCTAAGAATTTGGCATTTGTGCTCAGATTACAGATTTCTGATGGTAAACCTCTTTCTCAACTGCACAGAAATGTAAGATGTAGTAGTGTGTGTTGCAAAGTCAGAATAAGTTGACAGCTTTCCGAGAAACTGAGTTTCTTCAGGTACATCTAATATTAGAAGACAGTCTTGGCAAGTCTAAATGTTTAGGAAATGAATTAGGGTAAGGGAAGAAAAAAGGTATATGGGAAATGTGTGGCTTCCCTTTATTTTTTTTCCCCCCACCTAGAGTCAAATGTTAGATGATGAGATTGGCAGACTTTCAAAGGAGAGACAACAGCTTGCTTCTCAGCTGAAGGAGGTAAGAATTTATCTTTAAGGCAGCTCTTTAATAAACATCAGCAAATGTATTTCTGTACTTGGTGTTCTTTGATTGAGGTAGAGATTTGGTTTTGATGTGGCTGGGAGAATTTATAACGTAGTAGGTAAATAGGTAAAGGTTATAAGCCAGGTGTAAGTTATGGATGGCCTGGTGTGAAATCCAGGTGTCCTCTGGCTGCATATTGCAAAAAAACCCCAAACAAACCACGAGACCAAACAGAAATCTCCAACCCTTTCCCCACCCCAACTGGATGGAAGTATTCACTCTTACAGTTAAAGGGGAATTGAAATAAATGTGGCATGTTTGGCAAAGAAATGTGTATGTCCTTATGTTCTAGGATGTATCTTCATTACCGCTTTCATGGCCCTTTACAGTCCTGCTGGAACTGAGATACTAAAAAATATTTTGAAGTAAAACAACAACTAGAAGAATTTTTTTGTGTGTGGAGATAGAAAGTGGAAATAGGCACTGAAAGCAAAACCAGTAGTTAAGGCTGAGTGATGTGGACCATGAGGTTAATAAAGGTTCATCTTTAATGAATATATGCTGCCCCTTAATGGTCCTGGAGGCTTGCAATTAACAAATGTGACAGCAAACTAAGCTTTGCTCACAGTTAGTGTGTTTAGATTGCATAGCTGAGAGATAACAGGATACTTCTTTCCAGCTTGCCACCTCACTGGTATTGATCTGCAATTTAAAGTGAAAGTAACACTTCAGTGAAGTCAACTTGTGCCTTTCATTTGTAATAATGGAGATAGCTTCATTGGGGTGATGCATTATGCATGTTCTGTTTGACAGTTAGTATTGTCCAGGCAGTTAGAAGTTGCTCTAATGTGGTTCTAAGAAAGCTTAAAGAGGAGAGGAGACACGGTGTCCTGTTGTACTTGAAGGTTCGGGGGCACTCTCAGAAAGTACAGGCAGATATCATCTTAGAGTCCGACATCATCTGCTGCACACTGAGCACAAGTGGAGGAAGTCTGCTGGAATCGGTGTTTTTTCGGCAAGGTCTTGATCCTTTCAGCTGTGTCATTGTGGATGAGGTCAGTAAAGCTATTAGAACTACAGCATGTTCCACCTCTAAGGTCTGCCTTGTTCTCTGCTTAGGCTAATTCTGGTTGGTTGGCTGCTGGTGTGGTGTATTGAGGGTTGACTGGCTGCTGGTGTCATCCATTGTGGGTTGAATGCCCCATTTTTGCTTTTTAACTGGTAGCCAGTCTGCCCTGCTGCGTAGAGCCATGAGAAGAGTAACTTCCAATTGCTGCTTTTTCTGACTTGTTTGGTGCTTCAATGGCAGACGGCTTTTACTTAAAAATCATGGCTGAAATGTGGTTCTTGCTGCTCTGAAATCCCTTCAGAGATGTGCAGATGGTTGGGTTATATTTGTATCTGTTTGGAGTGCTCTGCATATTTCATGATAAAAGAAAAAACATGTTTGTAGTCATTTATTAGGGTGAAATCCTTATTTTTCCTCTCTTGAGTTTGTAGTTGGTTTATTTTATTTTTTTTTTTAGAAGACTTAGAAGGCATTTGAGTTATCCTGGCTCTGTTACAGGAAATTTAACATCCTTCCCTCCACTCCTTTGCTTACAACTTCTACTTTCTGTCCCGTTTGCATATACAAAAGGCAGGGCAGTCCTGTGAGGTTGAAACACTGATTCCACTGATCCATCGCTGTAATAAACTTGTCCTTGTTGGAGATCCCAGACAGCTTCCTCCTACAGTAAAATCAGTAGTAAGTATTCCAACTGTATTTTTTCATGCTATATAGTGGATATAGGGTAAGAACAATATTTATAGAACATGTAAAAGGGAAAAAAGACACTTCAATGTGAGATCAGGATGTTTATGATGATAACTTTTGCCCTGCAAGTTTAGTCTCTTGTTATGTGGGGACTATAATCAATACTGCCTTCAAATGTAAAATCAGTGGTAAGTATTCCAACTGTATTTTTTTCATGCTGTGTAGTGGATATAGGGTAAGAACAATATTTATAGAACATGTAAAAGGGAAAAAAGACACTTCAATGTGAGATCAGGATGTTTATGATGATAACTTTTGCCCTGCAAGTTTAGTCTCTTGTTATGTGGGGACTATAATCAATACTGCCTTCAAATGTGTCAGTAAAGCTAATGGAGATCTGAGAGTACAACCTCTGTAGCCTTTCTTGGTGTAGCTTGGAACTGATTTTGATTTCATGCACCATTAATAACAGCTATGGCAATAGGAGCTTCAGTGTAGCTCAGCAGTTGGTCTGTGATGGGCATTGTGCTGTGGCAGGCTCTGTTATTTCATTATGTGAGCTTCAGTCAGTGTCACATTCCGTAGGGAATGGGGGATGAAGACTACCTGTTTATATGGGGACTTCACCACCCTATGGATGTGTTCCAGGGATGAGCATATAGGAGCACTCTTCTATCTTGACAGTAAGGTCTATTTTAAACATCTGATAAAAAGGGAGGAAAACCAGACAGCCTTCTCTAGAAGGGTAAATCGTGCAGAGGCTGTGTGCTTGTTTAACGAGATGCCACCTGGAAGATCTTGCTTTTCATTATTGTTGATGTTGTTAAAATTTTACAGTGTTGTGACTCACAAAGGAAAGTTGTCTTGCCAAAGACAACACTGACAAAAATTGACATTTATGCAGGTGATCTTTCCTGAAATAGACTAACACAAATAGAAAGTTGAAGTGCCAGTCGTTGTCATTTCGTCAGTGATTTAGAAGTTTAAAAGAAAACACCAAGTAGTTTTAAGTCCGAAAAGCAGGTTCCTGTCACTAATTTGGGACCCTGTTCCCCAGAAGTCAATCCCATCTTTCTCCCCTGGCAGAAAGCTCAGGAATATGGCTATGATCAGTCCTTGATGGCACGTCTGCACAGACACCTGGAGGAGCAAGTGCACAAGAATGTTTTGCGAAGCCTGCCAGTTGTGCAGCTGACTGTGCAGTACCGGATGCACCCTGACATCTGCCTCTTCCCATCCAATTATGTTTATGGCAGGACATTAAAGACTGACAAGTGGGTACCGCTCTGTTCTTCTTTCTAAGCAGGGGTTATTTCAAAGAAACCTTTTCTTACCAGGATATTCTTTTGAGTCTAAAAATTCTCTAGGTTGTATGCGGGAAGATGCTTAATGAGAGAAAACTTCTAATCCATCTTTTTAGCACTGGTTGTGATACATAGATTAACTAGATGACTTAAAACTGAGCATGATTACTGCTTAGAGTTCATTTTCAGGCCTCAGTATCTGCAGGTAGCAGTGAAAATTAAGGACTTTGAGGGCAGGGGAAAAAGCTGAAAGTTGCTTGTAGCTGATAACCATGGTGTAAATAAATGAAGTCTCAGTTCTTTGAATTTCTCTATGGTTACCTAGTGATAAAAATGTTATTTACAGAGCAACAGAAGAGAACAGATGTTCTTCAGAGTGGCCATTCCAGCCCTACCTTATTTTTGATGTAGGAGATGGTCACGAGGAGCGAGACAATGAGTAAGTCTTGTATTCTGCTTAGCCAAACCAGATCTGCTGAGAGTTAAATCAGTACTACCTTCTCTTCTCTGCTGTTCCCAATATGCATTAAGTAGCCAGAACTGCATTTTCAACTTCATAGAATCATTGGTTAGGGTTGGAAACGACCTTAAGATCATCTAGTTCCAACTCCCCTGCCATAGGCAGGCAAGTATTAAATGTTTTTTATTTCTTTTGTTTTATCTGAAAGTGGTTTTAATATTGATTTGACTATCTGTTAGCTGCTAGTGAAGCTGCCTGCAATCTCTTAACTCTAGTAAGAATTTGAGTTCCTGATTTTTTTATCAGTGACTTTCCTTTCACAGCTGCATGCTGTGGTAATACCAGAAGGTGGCAGGCTCAGTCCCCCCCTTTGCCTATAAGGAACGCAAACCAATGTAGTTGTAAGGAACATGAAGCCTCTTGCTGCTAATAGTTGTTAGCCCTTCATCAGGGCCTGCTTGCAAAGTTCTTTTGAGTGTCTATGTGAAGGAGAATGCAAAGCTCAGGACAGGGACTTTGACTCACAATCCCCTTATAAATTGGGCTGAAGTGTTGAATTTGAAAGCACTGTCAAACATGGCTTTGTAATGTTTCCATTCGGTCTCGTTCAGCTCTTTTAGTAATCCTCAGGAGGTGAAGCTGGTGATGGAATTAATTAGAACAATAAAAGAGAAAAGGAAGGATCTGGGTCTTCGACGCATTGGAATAATTACTCCTTACAGTGCACAGAAAAAGAAAATTCAAGAACAACTGGACAGAGTGTTCAGGAATAACAGGTAAAGAAACCATGAGTTTTCACATGGGATGTGGCTCTTGCATGTTTACTTAGTTGTGCCTTAAAAGGGGAGATGCAAGCCTTTTGCTTAGTCCAGGCATGGCCTCTCTGTGCCATTCCTTAGTTACTACTTTTATACATGCTTTGATCCTGTTGCTGTTCTGAATAAAGCTCATTTTAAAGAAAAACTAAAATTCCAAGCTACATAGACCTGAACAGCTTTTCAATAATGATGCTGGCCTCAGAAGAATAAATTTAGCTTTAGGTTCTTACACTGAAGCAGAAATTTACCCGGGGTTATTCTGACAGGTGATGGTTAAGGATAGTGTTCAGGCAATTTGCATTAGTGTGTTGCTTAAAAATTCAACTAACGTAACTGAACAGCTTGCTAATTCTTTCTTCAACAGCCCAGAAGTGGACACAGTGGATGCATTCCAGGGACGAGAGAAAGACTGCATCATAGTGACATGTGTCCGGGCAAACAGCACTAAAGGGTCAATTGGGTATGTTTCTCTTCAGTGATTTGCAAGTCCCGTTTCCAGTGACACTAGGTGTAGTCATATTTTAATATGACAGTAAGGCAGTTATGTAAGACCAGAACAAGTCACTACAGCCAGCAAATTAAAGGGTATCTTAGTGCATGATTTGGTTTGAAATCTCTGACCAAAAAGGACATGGAAATGGTAAGTATTGTGTTCTGTGTTGCGTGTTGATGGATTCTCATCCTCCTTTAGCCTGTCACTGTTTCGGTTTGGCACGATTTGTCTTGGGAACGTGGCTCTTTGCTTTAGTACTGCAGCAGCAGTGATTTTTCTTACAGCTTTTGATCTATATTATAACTTTCTGAATGCTGCTCTCTTTAAATGAAATCCATTTTCTGCAACTCATTATCCTATTAATATCGCATTCTGTCTGTAGAAGTATTATTAACTAGTTACATGTGTCACTAGGAATGTGATGCGGACGAGCAGATCTTTGATTTCTAGGTGGGTATGCTTGTCTTTTGAGTTAGGAGGAGATCTGCAGAAAGTCCTGATTCAAGATAGCAGGTTTGGTAACTTTACATGGGTGTTTCCTGTTTGAAACAGAAGGAACTAGTTGGCTGGGTGTGCTCTTTACCCCCGGAGAGCTGCAGCAGTTGTTGATTTGTTTCTGTAACTTATGGGTCATTTTAGTTTAAAAAAATGGAATGATGTTTTCTTACAGTTCATTGGCTTTGAAGTTAAACTGTGGGAAGACTGGATAAACAAAAATCTTTGTTTCTGCATAGCAGGTTTCACTAAGCTGGTTTATCTGATATTAATTTCCTGATTGCTAGATAAAGGGCTTTTAATTGTGCCAATCATTACTTTGGGAAGAATCCAAATCCTCTAGTAACCAACAGTGATGCTTTCTGGACATTTCTTAATCTGCTTGATTGAGTTTGGAAACTGAAGACAGCCAGAACCTGCCAGTTCTTTTGGCTGACATGGGACTTAACCTCTGTCTGTTCTTTTGGAAGAGAACTTTCCAGCTTACTGTGGTGAAGCTTTGGCAGTGCAATGCTGCAGAAGCTGTACATGCTGATGACTTGGACATCTGTTTCAGGGGCAGGTGTCATTGGCAAGGTGTGATGGGAAAGTTTGTGGTACCCTTACTTAGATCTTGTAGCTGAGCAAAGTATTTTGGTCTCCAAGGTTGCTAATCCAGCATTAAATGTACTCTGAAAATAACTTTCAAATGGAGGAGAAAACTCCAAGGAAAGATAACGTTTTTGGTTTGGGATATGGTTTGGTTTCTCCCTTCCCCCCTGCCTCCTGAGAAAATAGTCTTCTTGCTTATCAGTTTCCAAAACTGTTAGGAATATTTAGTAGTCTTTCAAGATTCTGCCCTAAGACCTAAAGAACTATAATATCTGTAGTGCTGGATCTACTCCCCATGTCTGCTTCCTGCCTGTCTCTCTTGGTTTCTGCACAGACCACATTTCCTGGAGTGGTGCTGGGACTTGTGCAGTTTGGAATTTGCTGAAGGGCAGGTCTCGGCACATGACCATAGTATCAGGCATTGATGTTGAACCTGCTCAAGCTAAGTTTTATGAGGAGTTGACTTTGGTTTGCAGGTTTGTTAACATAGAATAAGCTGTGCGTTTTGGGAGCTTTTGCATTAGAGAAGAAATTTATATTACTTTCACAAACCCTTTTTTTTTAGTATTAGTAAATAAGCTCTAATAGAAATCAACCTTTAAGAATATATTAAGCATTTGTTTAGGTTTCAGTACCTTGGTTTGTGATACCACATAACCAGACTAGACAATTTGCATAGTACAAATAGAGGCTTTCTTCTGTAAGAATATACTTTTCACTCTTGAAGCATGACAAAGCAAAAGTCTTTTTTCATGTGCTTCCAGTGCAGGTCACCTTTAAAATAAAATACTCATGTCCAGCATTAAGTATTTCAATAGAATGTTTTCCCATTAATCATGCCAAATATTATTAATCTATTTCAGTTCAAGTCAAAAAGAAGCTTAAAGTCTTGATAGGTGAAGTGAGGTTGATGTCCTCTGTAGTTTGAGGAACACTTAAGGAAGCAGTGGTTGGCATTAAGAGGGGATTTGCTCTAAGAAAGGAAACATCAACAGCAAGAGCTGGAAAGAACTGGAATTCCCTGCAAGGAATCAGTGGTGAAAGAAAGAAAACACAATTCACGCAAAGCCCTTCATGTAAGGCAGGGGATCTGGGAGTGGGTCATGGACTACTGCTGCCTTTTTAACTGGTTCTGTTTTCTTCATTTTGCTGAAATTGAGTGTTACCACTTTTTGTTATAACACTTAAACCTTGTGGAAGAGTAGTTTAGGAGCTTAGCTTTGTCTTGTCACTTAGGTTTCTGGCAAGTCTCCAGCGCCTGAACGTTACCATTACCAGAGCCAGATTCAGCCTCTTTATCCTTGGAAGACTGAAAACTCTCATGGTAGGTACAGTGTTAATCAAATGATCTTCTGTGATCCACCCTTTTGGGTCAAGTCAGGGTTGGGGAAGTGAAAACCATCCTTAGACTGCTCCAGTGCATGAAAGGGGGCCCTTCTGTAGTGTTCTTATAAATCAGTACAGTCCAGGTCTCCAGAGAGTTCTCTTTGAAAGCTTTGGCTGTAATTGACAAAGCTTCTTAAAGAAATATATTAAAAAATCTTTTCCTTGCTTCCAAGAAGGAAATTTTAGAAATTACTCTCACAATATTTTTAGTAACTAAATTGTAACACAGTGCATTACAATTCAAGTGTGGGGGATGTGAAAAATCTTCTCTCTATTGGTAAGATAGGGTGATGGCAGAGCTTTGCTTGATCTTTACTGTTCCTGCAGCTATTGTATTTGTCACTGGATACTTGAGCAAGGAAAATGATTTTAAATAGCCAAACCACCCCAAACTGTTCCCCTTATCTTCAGATAATTGGTTTTCATACTACTTTGTGTGGCCATGTGGTTTCTGAGTATAGGCTTTGCTTGTACACTTTGAAACAGGTGTTTCTGAAACAGAACTACGTATCTGGAGGACTGAAAGGCCCACTGAATGTGTAGGGAGTGCTCTTGAATAGACTTGATGTCTTACAGTACTGGATCTTGATTTTTTCCAAGGGTGGGGTTTGATAGCTGCACCACAAGAGGGCGTTAAAGCCTTGTTCCTGTTTCTCTCTCTGTGCAAGGGAACTCTTCTGGCCTGCATAAATATAGAAATTGTCATTTTAAGTAGTAGCTCACTGATGGCTGAAAGTACCTTCCCTGTGTTACAGCAACCAGAGTGCCTATTGCTGGTTTGCAAGTGAAACATAAGATTCTTCCATTCCAGAAGGAACATAACAGTCGTTTCCATGACAGTTGTGTCAGGTACCTTGATTAAAGGAGTTGTGCATCCTCTGACACCTCTGTCCATTTGTGTGGATTTCTTTCCAGTAACTTTTCTTTCTTTTTGGGGGGTGTCCTTTTGTCTTTTTCTAAAAGGAAAACAAAGACTGGAACGAGTTGATTCAGGATGCTCAGAAAAGAGGTGCCATTATCAAGACGTCAGAAAAAAGCTACAGGAAAGATGCTGGTAAGATTTTGAAGCTCAAGCCACCAGTACAGCCCCCAGCCAATGCAGGAACAAAGCAACCTCCTCCGTTGCAGTCGTCTTCCAGTGGCAAGAAGCCACTTGCAAATCCAAGGGAGGCCAGCAGCCCTCGGGAGCTCACTGCTGGCACTGCCTGTGCAGCACTGCTGGGAAGTGGAGGGCCCCAGCAGCCCCAGCGGGCTCAGGCTGTGGACTCCAGGAGAGGCAGTGCCCCTGCAGCCGTGGTGCCTGCAGTGCTTCGACCCGAGGCTGGCAAGCATGGCTGGTAGAACTGAAGCCAAAGAGAGGGAGCAGGCCTCAAAAGACAGCAGTCGGTCAGCCCAGAGCAATCCAGGATCAACATCACAGCAAAGCCTCAATGTGTCCCCAGCTGCCAGGGATCAGATTTCCAGAACAGAAACTTTTAAGAAGCCCCAGCAAACACAGGGACAATGTGATTCGCCTTCCACAGCTCGACATGAGGGTGACTGGAGAGCTCCTCCGTTGAAAAGCAGTTCAAAATCCCCCAGTGAAGGAGGTGAAAGTTACAGCAATAAGCAGAACAAAGACTATTGTGTGTTAACAAGGAGAACATCAGAAGAGTCACCAGTGAACACAGAATCAAACGGTGCCAAGCGAAGAAAGACCTTTCACTGACTTCAGTATTGGCTCATTACTGAAAATCTATTCCCAGATTTCTGTCTAGCAAGGACTGTATTTTAAATTATTTAGTACACTTGGAACTCCCTTGTATTGATACCACTACTATCAGTAGATTCATCTTTTTCCCATCCTGTCCCTAATAGTGAAGGAGACTTTATACCTCTTTATACCTGACGGTTGATAGATTTGAGCTTTTGTAAAGAAAAGCTGGGTAGCTGCATTGCTTGGAAGAGCAGTCATCTAGGAAGTTAAGGTTGTAAATGTTTAATGATGTATATTTGTACAGTATACAAAATTATTTTAAGATTTAATTTGGCAAATATATAGCTTCCTGTTTCCTTGTGCAAATGCTGATTTCTTAGGTATTTTTTTATGAAGAACCAGAGCAAAGCAAAAAGAAAGAAAAAACACAAAAAAACCCCAAAACAACCCAAACCCAAACAAAAAATCCAAAAAAACAGCCATACTTTGTTTCCCCTTTGCGCTAATAAGTCTAATTTATTTGATGACAGAGTGAATGTTGATAATGTGGTAGCAGTGATTCTTCCTCGCTCCACTAGTGCCTCAGGAAACACTGAAGGCAGATGTACATTGGTTGAATGGAGAGAATTCTACTTATTTTGTATATTTTATGGCCTGTTTTTATAAGAACAGAAGAGCTTCCGTTTATACACATGTGCCTTGAGTTTTGCTCTTGCTGCTGCTTTATCAGTTGTAATTCTTTTCTTGTTGCAGAGGCAACGCAAACTGCAGATTAAAGCCTATGAGGTCTGTTCGGTCCCAGTGAGTCCATGTGAGGAATAATCAACAGCACTGTGGAACCTTAGTCAAAGATCTAGTTAACGCTTCTTGGTAATGACACTTGGGTTTTCTTTATAGGGAGATTTTGGAGACCTACAGAGCTAAAACGGGCAAGCAGTTCATTCTGGGTGTTATTACTGGATTCATTCCACTATGTTGATGAAGAATACGTAACCAGTAAAATGGGGTGGTGCAGGAAAATGAACTGATTTTTAAGAAAGCCTTCCTGTCGTCATAACATTTCACAATAAAAGTGGAATTATTTCTGCTAATAATGCTTTTGGGTGACTGAATTATCACTTTATGTGGAGAAGGTGTCTCTGTGAGGGAGGTGAAGAGCAGCATTTCATGTGCAGGGAGTTTTGCATGGAGGTACTCTAGCACGCTTCTGCCTGGGAGTGCAGCTCCACGCTGTGTTAGCATAAGCTGGGTGTACTGCGAGTGGGCCGGGTTGCTGTCTCCATGCATCTGTGGTGAAGTACAGCCTGCTCTGAGGCAGGCACGATCCTCCTGTCCCCCCTAACTGACTTGTGCTTAACCATCGTCACGGCAGTGGCTTTCTGGGCTGCCAGATTTCTCTGGCCAGCATTTAGTTTATTATCATTATTTATTATCATCTTTAGTTATGTTTTCTGTCCTGACACTTTCATTGCAGTGATTAGTGTTAGCTTTGTCCCTTTAACCACTGCCTGAGAGGTACATGCAATCCAGTCCACTGAAATACAGGCGCCTTACCGTACAAGACAACAGTTCAAACTGTAATTGCCAGTCAATGCATCCAAGGCCAGAACAAACTTCCTTCACTGGTAACAAATGTGTTGTAGGTGTGTTGGGAGGTATTTAGTTGCTATCTGTGGCTGTCCAGCTCATTGTGTTGCGTAGTACAGAGCATTTTAAGATACCAGTGGAGAATCTTTGAGATGCCTAAGAAGTGAAATCGGTGTATGTGCATTCTTTAGCTTTAGTTATTGGTTCTGTTGCAATTGTAATCACTTTGGTGAAGCCTGACCACCTCTTGTCAGCAGTGTATGCTCTTCTAAAACTGCTGTGACTCTGCCTTGGTGGTGTGCACCTTGTGCAAGCAGGAAGGCTGCTGGAATGAATCAGACTGTTGTGAATTGGACATCTTGGTCACCCTGCATCCCACAATCCATGCCCAATGTGGTTATCTCCTTTTATGTCCATAGGAATATTTAAAGATACTGTCATCTTTGAAACCTCTGGGTTCTTCTGGCAGGGCTGTGCTGACCTGCCTGCTGTTTCTGCTTAGCACATTGAAAAGGCTGCTATGCTGCAAGAGGGTGTAGGACGGCCTTTTAGACTGTCTCGATGTAAATAAAGTGAAGCTGGCAACAGTGTGAATGAGGAAATGCTTTTCTGGTCATTAAATACAATTTTGTCAAAAGAATGTTTCTAACTTCTAGTTTTCTTCCTCAGTCTGCAGTTCAGAATATGGTCTTTGGAGAGTTATACTTACCATGCTGGAAGGAATTCTGTTTTAATATTTAAATTTTATTGTATTTTGTACACTGCACATAGGCCGTGTCCTCCATAATGCCTGTGTTTTTGCATAAATCATCTCTGAGGTACGGTCAGTGGCTCAGACTTTGGTTATTTAATACTGGATTTATGTGACCTCAGTTATTCTTTCAGTGGTAGCTTATTGCTGCTGTGTCATTAATGGTGTATTCTTTAATTGTTGCACTTGGAACACTTTTCCCTCTTCCCATATCACTCAGAGTATATTTGTAGTTCTAATTAACTTTTCCCTCTTCTCTTTTATACCCCTAACATGGAAAACCAAGCAAACTCCAATCTAAAGCATGCTTCTCACTGCTTCAAATAAAACCTGCATTGGGGAACAAACAGTTTAGGTACCATTTTCATAACTTCTCTGCTGTTTACGTTCTATGTTACAAGATACTGAGTAGTGACAGGCAGTCGGTGTTGGTAAGCTGTGAGTGCAGATTTGCTTTATTCATTTAGTATCATCTTGGAACCAGTGACAGCCGGAGGAGGTTGTTCAGTGATTGTTCTATTCTGCTGAGTGTTAAAGTGAGAAAAATCAGTAAAACACTAAACACAACTTTAGGCAAAACAGTTTAATTGGAGGTTTACCCACAAAACTTTGGAAGAAGCTGTATTCAGGTTTGTATGCAGAGGCTTCTGTGCTTTGTCCAAGCTTGGGTTAACTGGGTGCAAACTTAGTTCCCTCTGCACTGCTGTTAGTCTTTGGTATCAGTCAGAAAGGGAAGTCTTGCTGGTGTTGAAGCATATTTTGGCGAAAGTTTGGTGAGTGTTGTTTTTATTATTTTTAATTTGCACGTGAAATAGTCTTTCTGGTAAAGGTGGAGTGTGATTTTGGTTATTCCTTTAAGGTTTACTGTAGTTGTTTTCCATGTCATTACTCTCAATTATGGTGATGTGAGAGCAAACCAGATGTGTATAATGATGATTATCCAAACAGGTACTCGCCTAATAAGTTTTTCTCCTCCCCTGTGTTCCATTGTACATGTGCTGTAGAGGCCTGTCTTACCTGATAGTGACTTCATCAGTTTTGCATACGTATGTCTGCAGACCCCATAGAGGAGAACCAACAGTTTGCAGAGCAATAACCCATCTGGTGGGGTTTTAGTGTCAGTGGATGGGCTGAGGAGTGCTGAGAGCTGCTGAGGCCTCTGGGGTTGTGGGTACTAGTCACAAGAGCTGTGGCGCACTAATCCTCTCCTCCAGTGCTGGTAGTACTGGTGGGGCAATGAGTTTCTACAGCACTGTCTCCTAGATGAGCTGAGTGCTGTAATTAATGAGCAGCTAGTGAGGGTCTAATGGGTGGAGGCACAGGAGCTGGGAGACTGGGTGGTGCAAGGTGTGTAGGCTGGCAAGGCTCTTTGTCCCTTCCTCATGCCAGTCCATAGAATGGAAGTAGCCTCTACAGTACTAGTGCAAGGGAAACATGGAGCAGCACATGCTTCGAGTGAGAAAGGACTTGTAGTGACCAAATGTACTGATTGAGGGTAAACTGTTCTGAGCTGACATCTTAAAAATGACATGGAACCCTGGTAATGTCAGAGTTGAGACTTCTGTGGTTTGTGCAGTTACTGAAGTGTGGTAAGATGCTGGGGTTTACTTTTGCATGTAGAAGGGGGAGACCCGAGTAGCCAACAGCTGGAGCTGAGCTGTTCATTCACAGCCCAGCGACTGTAGCAAGAGTAAGTAGAACCGTGGTCCTAAAAATGCCAGACATCCTCTCTAGTCTGCATGAATAAATGATGGATGAAATGGCTGCTGTATTGTAAATGGAATTTATAATGTTAATGATACAATAGAGTCTCTTGCCACAATGGATCCATTCCCAAGCCATATATAAGGTCTCCCTTCTTGTCTTTTTAAGATGTTTGGAAAGAAGCCCACTGCTTTATTCTTTGGTGCAAATAAATGTAAGCTAAGCAGCCTTGTACATCGAATATTGCTGACACATGAGACCTTCCAGCTATGTGTATCTGTCTTCTAAGGCCTTGACTAATTTGCCACCAACTCCCAGTGGCAGAAATGAAAATGAAGGTGCTTTGAGTGCATGTTACATTTGGTATTGTGAAGATGTAGAAAGCCTTGTTTTGTAGCTTGACAGGGCCTGACAGGCTACACTGGTGTGGCCATCCAATTCTGTCACTGATTTCACTGTGGCATCAAGCAAGAAGTCCCTTTGCTACAGAGAAATCCCATTGGTTTCTCCTCTATTTTAATCCCTAAAATAGCACAGAGTCGGGTTGGAATGGAGCATTTGGAACCCAGTATTATTACTGGCCAGGAGAGAAGGTGGTTTTGT